AAGGGGCTGCGTGGGCCAGTGGTCCCGGGCAGGCACCTCCCTGGTTCGCACAGGGCTGCCCATGCCACCCTCCAGGGAGCAAGGACCCCGCCCCTCCAGCTCTGCCCAGGGACTGCAGGCCACCTGGAGATGTATCCCCATTTGCTGCCATACAGAGTGACCTTGGAGACACCCAGTGTCTACCAGGGGTCCATTTCCATGAGGCCCCAAGCAGGAGTCCACGGAGAGGGAAGGTGATGGGGAGAGGTCATGAGAGACGGTATCTGATGGGGACAGAGGTCTAGCTTGGGGGGTGAGGAAGTTCTGGGAGGGGCATCAGCCACAGCCCACAGTGCACGGTCCTCAGGGTCCAAGGTCAGGATGGCCAGCCACGAGCCAGCAGCCAGCAGTGTGTGTACTAGTGCAGGATGTGTGGGCCTCCAGCAGGGAGCCCGGACACAGCAGGGACACAGCCAGGTGGCCACTGTGGCTGTTCCCTGCTCCCTGATGTGGCCAGGGTGCCACACTCTTGGCCCACGAGCTGCTCCTCCAGGCTCTGCTCCCCGCTGGCTGAAGTGACACCTTGGGTCGCCCATCCCTGCCAAGCATTCAGGGGCTGTGGGTGGCCTGCTTCCCCCAGCCTAGGACCCTGCAGGAGCTGCCCAAGGTCCTGAAGAGGCAGCTTCGCCCTCTAGCCTAGAGAGGGGACCTCAGCCAGGAAGCCCTGAGGGACAGGAGCCCGCAGGAAACAGTACAGAGACTGCCACGTGAGGCTGCAGATGCCCAAGTTTGTGCTGATGTGGGCACTGGTGTGTGGGGGGGACCAGGCCCTGCAGGGAGTGAGGAGGTGACTGCGCTGGAGGTTACTGTGCCATTTGAGTGAGACAGAGCAGCTGTGCAGGATGGGGAGGGGGGCACACACAGAGGTGGGGCACACAGGGCCAGTACTACCCTGGGATTCCAGAGAAGGGGGCTGCATGTGGCCATGAGCTCCTGTGGGCGGGGGGCTGAGGGAGGTGGCACAGCCAGGCCCCTCCTGGCTGTGGCCTGCTGTGACCCTCAGCTGTGTCCTGTGAGTGTAGGGATCATGGGGCACTGGGGTGCACACGTGAGCTGCTCAAGCAGTGACCAGAGGAAAGGGGGGACAGGAGAGAGGGATACAGATGCCAGTGGGGAGGGGAAGGAAGAGGAGGGAGAGCCAGGCCGCAGAGGCCAGCAGGGGCACTGGGTGGGGACACAGTTGGGGTCAGTGGCAATCTTGTCATAGGTCACCGAGCTCAGCAGGGAGGCAGGTCTTTGTTGTTTGCTTGTGTTTTGGGGGACAGGGCCTCACTGTGTAGTTTAGGCTGGGATTTCAGGCCTGTGCCACCACGCCTGGCCTCTTCCTACTTTGACTTTCCAGGGTGGAGTCCCGGTGAGAGAAGCGTAGCCAGTGGTTACCGTCAGGTCCCACATGCTGTGGGTTTGGGCGCACACATAGCGGCATGCACCCAGCCGTCACTGCTGGAAGCTCCGAGGGCCAGGCTTAGGCTGGGCACTGCTAGCACCACCTCCCGGCCCTTCTGCTGCCCTCCACTGGGGAGCAGTCTGCCTTTCCCAAATGCCTTGTCAGCCTGTTACCACCCTGGAGAGGAAACACCCAAGTCATCCAGGAGCCTGGGGACAGGGAGTGAAGCGACCTACTCAAGCCAGCACTTAGCTGTCCATCAGCAGTGCGGGCCTTGGCAGGGCTGCGAGGGCAGCAGTGCTTCTGTCTGGAACCTTCCGCTTGCCACTGCTCGGTCCCCTTTGCAAAGCTGGCGTCACCCTTTGGCAGGGGCCTCAGAAGCACCAAGCAGGTGCAGGCACTTGGCTTCACTGCCAGGAAGCAGGTGTGGGCCGCTCTTCCCTCCTGCTCCGGGAGGCCTGGGCTGCACCTACAGCCGCGCTTGGGTTATGTGCCCCTCTGTGGTCATGCAGGCTGAGAACCAGGAGGCCAATGTACATCCTTTTCAGGTGCACATGGCCTCAGCCCTGTGTGGCCTCCCGTGTCAGGCCATCTGAGTGAGGCTGCAGGACAGATGTGAGGACCACCTACTGCCACACAGAAGCCGTTGCCCACGGGGCAGCTGATGACCACAGACACAGTACTGCTGGTGGATTCTGATGTCATGCAGGCCAGCCAGAGCCCTGGGCCAGCAGTGCTGCCTAGCCTGGGGACCTAGGAGCATTCTCCAGAGCCAGGCTCCCAGTATGGGCTGTGTCCAGGCTGTTGCTGAGGCCTGGGAGCTCAGCTACGGGAGATAGGCTGGTGGAGGGCAGCAGGGTCCGGAGGCTGCCTGTACTACTCCAAACCTCCCCGTTTCATGGTTTGGCCTTTCATTTCACCATGGTCTTCCCTGTCTTTGACTTTTTGAGACAGGGTCTCACTATGCAGTTCAGGCTGGCCTTGAGCTCACTTTGTAACCCAGGTTGATCTCAAACTTGCAATGATCCTCCTGCTTCAGCCTCCTAAATGCTAGGATTACAGGCATGTGCCAGCATGCCCGGCCAGACGGGATATGTTAACAGGTAATTAAAAGGCTGGGGTGGTGGCAGGTACCTGTATTCCCTATTTGGGAGGCTGATGCAGGACTGCTAGTTTACAATCAGCCTGGGTGACTTGGCAAGGTCCTCTCAAAAAAGGTTGTTTTTAGTTACAGATTTCTTTGTTCCTTCTCCACTCCCACTGTTTCACTTGACTAGCCTTAAAAAAAAAAAAAAAAAAAAAAAAAGGTTGTTTTTAAAAGGTGTGTCAGGTGTGGTGGCGCATACCTGTAATCCCAGCACTTGGGAGGTGGGGACACCAAGGCTAGTAACAGCTATCTCTGCAGAGGAAGCTGTTACCTCAGAGAGGTGCCACCATCAGGCTGCAATCTCAGCTGCAAGGAGAGCCTGGAGCCCAGCACCACACCTCGGGCTCTGCAAGGTGTGTCCTGTCTCCAGCAAGAGGGCTCAGACAGTCCTTTGTGTGTAATCAGGATGGTCCTGTCATTACAGGCACAGCGGCACATGCCTGTAATCCCAGCACTCTGGATGCTGAGGCAGGAGAAGCCTGACAAATTAGAAGCCACCCTGGGCTACATGGTGAAACCCTATCTCAAAAAGACAAAAAAAGAAAAAAAAATAATAATTCCAGATTAAATGGAGACCTGCTGATGCACCAACATAATGGCACACACCTGTAATCCCAGCTGTGCAGGAGGCAGAGGAAGGGGACTGCACGTTCAAGGTCAGCCTGGAATACAAAGTAAGTTCAAGACCAGCCTGAACTACATAGTGAGACTCTCAAAACAAACAAAACAATTTCATCAAGCATTTTGTTGGAAAATCAGTATAGAATACATCAGTGGGACAGTCTTTATTTCATAGGTATTTAAAAGTTCAGAGGAAAATGTTATTGAATATGACTACAACCTAGAAGCATCTTACTCAATTTTTTTTAAAACAGCATTTATATTTTAGTCAAAATCACCTCCATTATGGCTAGGGACTTAGCTCAGTGGCATGTGCAAAGCTGAGTTTGATCATTGGTACCAAAAGGAAAAAATCACCTCAATTATAACTTAGTTGCACTAATTTGTGAGCCAAACATTTACCACCATCATTTGATGTTTGTCTTGTTGCATTTTTGGAGGGAGAGTCCCAGGAACCCGTGGGGCTCAGCTCACCTGCTGCTGTCCAGACACCCAGGGGTCCTGTTGTGTTGTGGGCTGCGGCTCTGCCATGCGGCCCTGAGTGCAGGGTGTCGGTGTCCCCCATCTGTGCCCAGCGCCCTCAGTCCCCGCTCCTTGGATGGCACCTGGCCAAAGCCCTGTCCCACAGGCATAGTAGCTTCCATCCTGCAATCCCTGGTGATGGAGGTGGTGGGGGCCACAAGGACACGGGAGGATGATGGGGAGGCAGGAAGCCCCACACCACTGACCCAGGCTTCCCGCGCTGCCGCCACCTGCCCCACTCTCGCCTGGAGCTTGCTTGGTTTCTCATCCCAATGGCAGAGACACCTGAGATGCCCCGAGAAGGAAGCATCTTGGCTCAGGCTGATCTACTGCCCTCGGCCTGACCCTGGAGCCAGGACCAAAGGGCTTCTCACCTCATGAAGCTGAAAACGAGAGAAGGGGCCGGGGTCCAATGTCCCCTCAAGGGCAACCCCAAGACCCAAACGGTCACCACTTCCCAGCCAGGGACCAAGACTTCACTGCCCAGGCCCCAGGGACATTCAAGGTCCTGACCACGACAGTGATGGTCCAGCAGCCCATGATCACATCCCACTGTATCCTCTCTGATCCTGTGGACCCCAGCTGTCTCCCCCCATCTCCAACAGTGGTGGTGACAGCCACATGTGTCTTTGGGAGCTCCAGAGATACTGCACAGAACAGGGAGCTCTGGTGTCCCTCGACGTCGCTGGTTCTGGGACAGATGCTCACCACACCTGTTTCAGGACAGCTGGGCCCTGGCCAGGGCAGCTACCTGAGGACCCTGACACCTCACTGCTATGTCACAGGGCAGGCAGTCACATGCAGCCAGCTTCCGAGCCACTCCTGTCACCAGGTCCAATGCTGGAGCTGCTGAGCATGAAAACAAGCCTCACCCACCCTCACTCCTCTCCCAGCCCTTTGTAGAGTTGGTTTTTCTTTTTTTTGGAGACAACATCTCACTATGTAGCTCAGGCTGGCCTCGACTCATGATGATCCTCCTGCATCAGCCTCCCAAGTGGTGGACTCGTTGTGCCACTCCACTTGGTTTGTAGACTTGAGACAGTCTAGGGTGCCTCGAATCCGTGATCCTCTGGAGCACCCAGAGTTATAAGCATGCACCAACGTGCCTGGCTGAAGTGTTCAAGTGAAACTTTATTAACATTTTTATATGGTTCTACTCTGATTTGATGGGATCCAAGACACAGGAGACAGGGCTGGGGATTTGGCTCAGTAACACGAGTGTCTGCCTGGCACATGCAAAGTCGTGAGCTCAACCCCTAGTACAAAAACAACAAAAAAACAGACTCAGGAGTCAGGCACGCAGTGCCAGAGCTTTATTTAACAGCACATCCGTGTCGAGTACCCAGCTGGACCCAGCAGTTCGGGAGCAGGAGGCCCTGCCCTGAGACACAGTGACCTGAGTCACTCACAGGCCCTCCTGAGGGGCAGCTGGCTCATGGCCACATCAGGACTGGGGCAGCTAAGGGCTCATCCTCTTCGGCTTCCATCTCAGCCTGTTCCAAATCCTCTGCAGGGCCACTCTGCCCATGATGAAGGTGATGGCAAGGTTACGCCTGTACCAATCTCTGCGGGGAAACAGGACAGCGTGTGGGACCCCTGCTCCATCTGCCCTTCTTGCCAGCAGTGAGGCTACACCCCAGAGAGGCCCCCAGCTCTGAGACACTGGAGCCACAGCCTGCTGGCTCTGCAGGGAGCAAGGACTCCTCTTCACCTGCCCTGGCCTGGGCAAAGCCAGGGCCAGCAGAGCTTCCCATCCTCCTCTGAGTTAAGAGCTCTGGGGGACCGTCTCTGTGGAGCTGTGCACACGCAGGCGTGCATACACACACACATGCAACACCAGCCTGCAAGGTCACTGGCAGACACTGCCACCATGGACAGTGTCATGGGGACCAGGGACCCTGCAGAGCAGGAACTGGGAGGCCACCCCAGCCGAGGGTGTGTGGGAGGGCAGGTGCAGTTTGGCTGTGGGGTTCACCCATGCTGAGGCCGGAGTGGCCTCTGCGCTGGGCTGGACACACTGGTAGGCTCTGCACACACTGGCTTGCGTACCCCAGAGAGCTGCACATGCAGGATGTGATGCCCAGGACAGTCCCAGGTGACATTGTCTGCTCTGAGTCACCTAGCCACCCCACCCCATCCTCTGGCCCTGTCCCACCTGGCATGGTCAGTGTCGCACTGAGTACAAAGCTCAGCCGTCACATCCCATCATGTCACTAGGACACACAGGGACCTATGAGTCTGTCACTAGATAAATCCTTCTAAAAACACATGATTGAGCTGGGCTGGTGGTGCACACCTGTAATCCCAGTACCTGGGAGCCTTAAGCAGGAAGATCGCAAGTTCAAGGCCATTCTGGGCTACACAGTGAGACCCTGCTCTAAGACACAAGCTTAGGAACAAGACTCAGTACACGGCCACCACTTGGGTCCTCAGTCCCAAGGTCTGCTCCAGGGCCCACACCCAGTCCAGGGCCTGCGTCTGTCCCTGTGTACGGCACCTCCCCTGGCCTGTGGTGGGCCTGGCTGCCCCACAGAGCTGGGTCATCGGCAGCATCCCCAGCAATCTGGGTTTGGCTGATGGCATCCCCAGGTGCCCACTCCGAACCTTCCCCTTCTCCCTGCAAACGGCCTTGGCTCACAGCCCTGTCACACCCTCCCCAACCCAGGGCCACAGCACTGCAGCCCAAAGTGCAGCCCTGACCTAGGTCAGGTGGCGCTAGTGAGGTGGCAAAGTGGCACTTGCTAACCATTACCCTTCCTGCAGCTGCCCTGTGTGACCACTGCACAGGAGGGCAGGGAAGCCAGCTGCTCTCCAGGGGTTTCTGTCTGTCTCTGTCCCTAAGACTTGGCAGGCCGGTCATCACCAGGAGTGACCCTGGGCTTCCGTCAGTTCCACTGTGACACAAAGCAACTATTTCTGTCTACTGGGTCTGGTCTGGCAGGTGGGTAGGCCTCTCCTCCCACAATGGCCCCAGCCAGCTGGGGGCTTCTCCCAGCAGCGTCACCCGAGAGCACTCAGACCCCGTTCCCCAGGCCCTACACACACAGCCCAAAGCCACTGAGTTTATTTAGAAACACAGAGTGAAGTGGATGAAACCACGCAACCATGCAACGTCTGTCTCTAATGCAAGCACTAACATGCTGAGAGCAGGAGAGAACTCAGTCCTGCCAGCCCTGGGCCGGACGGGGACCCTGGGGGAAAAACACGCACCTGTTATACTGCATGTGCTTCTGGAAATTTTTACTTAAAAATTCCTTGTAGAAGTCTGCCATGTCTTCTGCGCTCAGCGTTCCTTTTGGACCTGAAAGTAAATCTTTATTTCAACATTAAGCCTTAAAGAGGAGGGACAGGGGCTAGAGGTTTAGCTCAGCGGCATAAGCGCCTGCCTTGCAAGCAGGCAGTTGTGAGTTCAATCCCTGGTACCGATAAAAACGGAAAAAAAAAAAAAAAAAGAGGAGGGATAAACAAAAACTATGGGAGCTAAGCAAGAAACTCAAGTATCAAGTGTACTTCTATATAATAGCAATAAATAACTGAAATGAAGTCAAGAAAACAATTCTACAGTATAAAAAAGTAGCCATGGGGCGGGGACTCGGCTCAGCAGCTCAAGCGTCTGCCTGGTAAGCAAAAGGTCGCGAGTTGTACCCAAAAAAGACGTAAGAATAGATTTGATGCGGAGCACTCTGCTGAGGCAGAAGGGTCACAAATTCAAGCCTAGCCCAGGTAACTTAGTGATGGTAACACACAAATTTGAGGTCCACCAAGCTGCCCAGGCCGGGCTCATCGGAACCCTACAGCTTGAGGTTTGCACCTCACCCAGCACAGCTCTGCGGCACCCCCCAGGGTCTGACACTGAGGGTGGCTCTGCCTTTACCACTGGGCCCTGCACTGCAGACATCCAGGCAAAAGAACCATCCCACCAAGCACCCACTCCAGCCCACCCGGGGGGCAGAGGTGCCCCAGAGTGTGTACTACCCCGTGGTGGTGGCTGCAGGGACTCAGGTCTGACTGCCTGGGTGCTCCTGCGGCAGGTTCAAGCTGGAAACCATGTCATTCCACCTGCAGGGTGTGTGTGTATGTGAGGGAGCACTGAGGTTGAGCCCCAACAGGACGGAACTCCACCTCAGGCCGCAGATGCGGCAGAGCTGGGAGGGATCTGAGCACTGCCCTCCCCTCTTGCAATGAGAGCGCAGGGCCTGGCTGCTTGGTCGCCAGGACAGCTCTGCCCAGGGCAGATCCCAGTCCCCTAGCTCTGTTCCCATCCTCGACCAAGCTACTGGGCCTTCCTTGGAGGGTGGGGCACGGTGGCACAGGTTCACATGACACTGTGAGCAGACCCTCGATAGTAACTCAAGATCCTCAAGGCCCAGCAGTCAGTCCTGCTGTGTGACCTGTTGTGCTAGCCCCTGGCCAGACCTGCACTCCCTGCATGCGGTTTCCCAGGGCCACACCCTGCACACCTGTAATCCCAGCACTCACGAGGCTGAGGCAGGAGAACTGCTCCAAGTTTGAGGCCAGCCTGGGCTACAAAGTGAGCTCAAGACCAGCATGAACTGCACAGTGAGACCCTGCCTCAAAAAGACAAAAAACAAAACAAAAAAACCCCACACTTGGGCGCAGCCCTAGGCCTGCTTGTGCACCCAGCCCGAGACCTCAACTGTATCGGGATGAATGCTCCTCTGGCAGAGGAGGGGGCATCCACTGACCCAAGGAGCTCCCTGGAGAGGAAAGACAGGGTCCTGTGGAGGAGGCCACTCCAGACCAGAGCAGTCCGAGCAGGCTGTGAGTGTCGCATCAGAGGATGCAAGGGCTGGCTGTCAGGGTGGCAGTCTCCAGGGGGCCCTGGGAACAGCTGTGTCCTGCATCAGCCTCCTAGATCTCCTGGCCTTCATCAGCCTGAGGGGACCGAAAAGCTAAGAAAGCAGCTCCTCGGGGGCTGGAGATTTAGCTCAGCGGCATAAGCTCCTGCCTTGTAAGCAGGCAGTCTTGAGTTCGATCCCCGGTACCGATAAAAAGGAAAAGTGGGGGGGGGACAGCTCCTCCCTGCCACTGTCAGAGCTGTTCCACTGGACAGACAAGGCCAGGCCCTGTCCCCTGCTGGCCTCATGGCCTGACCCATGACGTCCTGGCCACTTCCTCATCTCGGCGTGACCACACCGGCATCCCTTATGGCCCAGGCTCTGCTGGGGAGGCAGCCAGAGTCTGGCTGTCATCACCACCAGCTGTCATCAGGGCCAACAAGTGACAGGAGGAGGTGGGCAGACAGGCTAGGCCACCCCACTCAAGGCCTCAGTCCAGTGCTCAGCAGAAAGCAGGAGCCCCACAAATGCTTGCTAAGTCACCCATGCTCCACATTCATCAACACAGAGATTTGTTATAGAACACAGAGCACCTGAGGGGGACGGGAGGTGTGGGAGGAAAGAAGGGGAGGAGAGCAGCATCCTAAGTCACTGCACGGCACTGGGCCACTGGGCGCGGGTGGCTCAAAGTAACAGCTGAGCAGTGAGTCCCTCCCTCCGGAAGGCGCCTCTTCCCCAGAGGCACAGACAACCGCGCGGGAGAAATTCCCTCTCCCCACTGTCCAGTCTGCCCTACAAGGGACTACTTATTTTTGGTGCTTTAAACTATCTGTTTAACTGGCCTTCCATTTAGCTAACTGAACTGACTTGTTTTATTTTGATACAGCTTTTCCCCACGGGCATTTACAGATCTTCAAGCCAATGTGAATATTCCTAAACCTGTGGCCATTTGGGTGCACAGCTGCACAACACCTCAGCACTACATTTCAGCAAGAAGAACTCCGAGAGTGAACCAGTCAACCAGGGAGAATGAACACCTGCTCCAAAGCCTGGCTCCCGAGGCAAAGGCACCACACCTGTTCAGCTGGGAAACCCCTTACAGCACAGGTGATCGCTCAGTGGAGCCTGGAGTGCTGGGCCGACAAGTGGGCGCTGGACGGCAGCGCCACACCCCCAGCCCATGCCGTGAGTCCACAAGGGACCCCGTTCCCGAACTCAGACCCCGGCTGAACCCAGGGGCCTTTCCTCTGGCTTCCTGATTTTCCTGGTCCTTTCCCTGGACCCATTTCAGGACACTGTCCTGACCCTTAAGAGTGTTTAATACACTCAATACGCACATCACATCCATCTGCATGGCAAGTGTCCTGCCCTTAACTTGCTTTTTGACAGCAACGCCAGCAGCATGTGGGTGACACTGTGGCCCCTTCCTGTTTTGCTGTGGTCACAGTGCCTATCCCGTTGTGTCCATAGTGTCACCCTTTTTGTAGATTCCCATGTGTGTGGCCAAAGGAACAGCCCCATGTCTAAGAGGCCTGGGGAACACACACTAGTCCCCTCCCCTTCCCCCTGGCGAATTACTGGCAGAGGGCGGCTCTGGCCAAAAGGTTAAGTGACATTTAACCTGGGGTCAGGCAGAACCAAACCAGAGAGCTGTGCCTTCTGCATGTGAAAGTCAAGCAGCAGTTTCCACCCTCCTGCAGAGCCTTCGGGCGCCACCTGTGCGTGTTCAGTCCCCTATTATTGGGTACCAGGCCACGTCCAGTGTGTCCCCCACCGAGGGTCCCAGCAGGACACGAGGCTCCCCAGGATGAGTCCCTGGCCACGCCTGCAGCCTGTGTGCAAAAGTTGGCAATTCCTCACCACCACAGCACAGAGGTCTTGCCAGCAGCACTGGGTCAGGTGCTCCATTTAGAGGTGGGATGCTTCTGGATCGCTTCCCACAGATGCCCCATTGGTGGCACGTCCCAGAAGCTGGCTCTGCTGATTCTGCCTCTATCTCCAAGAGGCCCCAGGCCACTGGCCAGTGTGGCCTTGGCAGCTGCTGGACTCCAGCAACACTTTGTGCATGAGGGTGTGAGGTGCTCCTACCACCATGGGGACCCTGCCAGCCCCCCACCTCCGTGGCAGTTGCAACAGTGACACAGTGACAGACAGAACTGCGTTTACAGCACGTGACACAGACATCACAAGGCTCACATGCACTGTGCAGCAACTAAATCCAGGTAGCTAACCGGCCACGTAGCTGCTACTTCCTTGGCACGAATGCTTTCCACACATACTTAGCATTCTCCAAGACAACTGTGCTCTGTGATGTGACCTCACCACCATTATGCACTTGGGGCCCTCCTCCCCATCTGCTGTGCCCTGAGGCCCAGCTCCCCAGCCTCCGCCAGCTCCTACTCCCTGATACAGCCTGGCCTGCTTCATCAGCTTCCAACATGGCTGATACCTAATTATGGCCAGCCTTTCACTACTCAGCAGGGCCACCAACAAGGAATCTGTGCTTTAATAAGACTGAAAACCACATACCCCGCTGTTAGGAGAATGGCTAGTCTCCAGACGCACATACATATATGCACACATACATACGTGTGTGCACACACACATACGCATGTGCACACACACGCAGCCAGCAGAGGACCCAATGCAGACTGGCCCAGGTCCTCACTGGTGGGGCGCCCACCCCGAGCCTCAGGCCCCTCCTCCTCCAGTGTCTGTGCGTGGCAGCCACCAGGACACAGACCATGAGCTCCCACCCTGCGCTCTCTTGGTGCGCAGCTCCTCCCCTCTGCCTCTGGGGAGCCTGCAGCACACAGCAGGCCAGGTGAGGGCCCACCCAGGCAACTCCTCTCCCCCACCCAAAGCAGCCCAGGCTGGCTGGGGATTAGCAGGAGACAGATGGTATGTGCCTTAGCCTAATCACTAATTGGTTTATTGGCTTTCAGGGTCAGTGGTTCAGGATTTCCCATTGGAATAGTGTGTGACAGCAGGCACCGGGGAGCAATTGGCACAGGGGTGGGGACTGTGGTCTGGACTACGTAGCAGGTCCCTGTCTCAAAACAAAAATAAAAGGGCTGAGGATGTAGCTCAGTGAGAAGGCCATGGGTACAGTTCTCAGTACTTCGTGGGAAATGGGAAACTAGGGGCAAAAATCAGGATACAGAGGCCAGGGATAGAGCTCAGTGGCACAGTCCCTGTCTGTCAAGCGTGAGGTCCTGAGTTCAATCCCTGGTACAAAAAAAAAGCCTGAACCTCACTTTTTTTTTTTTTTTGTGGTACTGGGGATTAAACTCACGACCTTGCGCTCACGGGCAAGCACTTGAGCCACTGAGCTAAGTCCCCGGCCTCCTGAGCAATGTTTAAAGGACGGAAAGCAGCAAAAGTGCTGAGGAATGTGCTGAATGTCACCCAGGCAGCGTACGAGGCGGCAGGCGGCTCTCTGAGACTCAGGCCTATGACTGGATGAGGAGCAGCAGGCGAGGGAGGGGACTGTGGAGGCCCTGGGACCTCAGCTGGGAGTCACCAATCAGGACCCCAAGCCCCAAGAGGCTGTTAGAGGAGAGACAGGAGAGACAAGGGGTAACAGGAAGCCAAGGAAACCAGACGCAGAGACAAGAGACGCAGCGGACACCAGGCAGGAGGGAGGCAAGGGCAGGAACCAAGCCGCCTGAACTCCCCTCCTGCCCGCACTGAGGCCCAAACAGGGTCAGCCAGGAGCGCACGGGGCACTGACCTGATTCCGCCCCCAGCCCCAGGCCTCGGGCTCGCAGTCTCGCATGGATGAAGTCTTCCTTCTCCTAGAAGAAGAGACCATCAGAACCATAGCTCCGTCTCCCTCTCACCAAAGAAGTTCGCCTTGTACCTCGTGAGAAACGGCCGTCTCAAAGCCTGCTCTGAAAGCACCTGAATTTGGTTAAGAGTGTCAGGCATGAGCTGGATGTGTGTTGTACACCTGGAATCCCAGCACTCGGGAGGCTAAGGAGGCTGAGGCGAGGAGGGCTGTCATGAGTTCAAGGCTAGCTTGGACTGCACAGTGAGACTTTGTCCTAAAAATCAATTAAACAAACAAAACAACCCCAAACCAAAAGAAGGCTGATGCTTCCTAGAAATAGTTACATGGTGGTAGGTTGTTCTGTTATTGAGACAAGGTATCACTGTACAGTTCAGCCTGGCTTGAACTCACTGTGTAGTGCAGGCTGGCCTTGAACTCACAGCAATCCTCCTGCCTCAGCCTCCAAAGTGCTGAGATTATAAGCATGTGCCACCATGACCAACACACATTCGTTTAAAACTTCTACATACCCCAGCATTTGGGAGGCTGAGGCAGGAGGATCACCCTGAGTTCAAGGCCAGCCTGGGCTAAAAAGACAGCTCCTCTCAAAAACAAACAAACCAAAAAACCTTCCACATGGGCACACACACAGATACTGAGAAAAGAGAGGCAACACAAACACTGACAACTCAGCACCACCAAGTGGCCAAGTGAGTCACTTCTCATCCGCGTGGAACCTACACTTACCTTGCTGAAACTCAAGTTCTGGTTCGCCCAGAACTGCTGGTTCCATTCTTGTGTTTCTTGTCTTAGTTCTCTGAGCTTCTGTTCCAACAATGACTCTTTTTCAGGCTTGTAGAAGTGAATGGGGCGGAGGTTGGAATGTCTATCTGGGGGTCCAATCCAATCGTGGTGAGATTTTCTTGGAGGGCAGAATCTTGAGGCCTTGAAAGGAATGCATGGGAGCCAGGGTTTAGCTCTGTGGTGTAAGCCCCGCCTGGCAAGCATCAAGTTGTGAGTCTGATCCCCAGTACCAAAAATAGAACTGCGTGGGACTGACACACAATTCAACAAGCCCATGGTGTTTATTATACCATTAATAATCTGCAGTATTAAGGTTCCACAGGGATTTTCTCTAGAACATGAACACGCCTAGGAAATTTCCAAATTAAAAGAACTACAATGAATAATATTAACATTTACACACCATGCCCAGCAAATAGTGCTAGAATAACCCCATATCCTCACACTGGGGGTTATGAGGGGAGGAAGATTCAGCCTCTACGCTGCACCACATATGAAAAACCTACCTGAGACAGATCATGGACCTATCTGTAGAATCTAAAACTGTGAAAAATTCTAAAAGGAATTTTTAGAAGCGAAACCCTGCCAAACAGGTGTGTGTACACATGTGTCTGTGTGCTGGGAAGGAACCTAGGGGCTCGGCTGCCAAGCTGCATCTGTGGCCCCTACTCATCTGCTCACTGACAGTGTCTTACTGAACTGTGCTGCCTAGGCTTGAACCTGCAATCCTCCTGCCTCAGTCTCCTAAACAGCTGAGATTACAGAGCTGAGTGACCATAAGAGAAAACTTTTGCAACCTTAAAGATTTAAGTATACGGGGCTGGGGATTTAGCTCAGTGGCATAAGCACCTGCCTTGCAAGCAGGCGGTCGTGAGTTCGATCCCTGATACTGATAAAAATGAAAAAGACCCCCTCCCCAAAAAAAAGATTTAAGTATAGCAAAAGCACACTACATAAGGCAAAAATTGATTAATTAGCCTTCACCAAAACTAAGATTTTAGTCTCGTAAAACCACTCTCAAGGTAATAGGAAGATGGGCCACAGACTAGGTGAAAATATATTCATGCCTGCAAAGGGCATGTTCTCACAAAATAGAACACTTAAAACTCAAAAATAAGAAAACCCCAATTTAAAAAAATTTTGAAATGGGCAAAATAGCTGAATAAAAATTTCATTGAGCTGGGCGTGGTGGCCCATGCCTATAATTCCAGCACTTGGGAGGCTGAGGCAGGATGATCCTTGTGAGTTGGAGATCAGCCTGAGTTACAAAGTGGGCTCAAGGGCAGCCTGGACTGCATAGTTTGAGACCCTGCCTCAAAAAAAAAAAAAAAAAAATTTCACTGAAGACCTTCAGATAGCAAATAAACATACAAGGACACACCCATTATCCTGTCACTGGGAAAGCCACATCCAAACTATAATGGGACACATGGTACCGGTCCAACAGTGGAAACAGAACCGCATTCCAAAGTGCTGTCCAGGATGCACGTACAAAGAAAGCCCAGCCAGGCACGGCGGTGCACACCTGCCATCCCAGCACTCAGGAGACTGAGGCAGGAGGATTGCTGCGAGTTTGAGACCAGCCTGGGCTACAAAGTCAGTTCAAGTCCATCTTACAGTGCAGAGCAAAACCCTGCCTCAAAAAAAAAAAAAAAAAAAAAAAAAGAAAAGAAAAGAAAAGAAAAGAAAAAGCAGCAACAGCAAGCATTTAACCCAAAGCTACGTCTGAGGCACTTAATGAAAACTACATTCAGGGTCTGGAAATAAGCAAATGCAAACGCGTGAAGGGGAGAGACAGGAGACAGCTGCGAGGAAACCTATCAGCAGCTCAGGCCTGGCTGTCAGGGGAGGGGCTCCGTCCCCTCATGATTTCACTTTTCTTCACTTCCCCGCCCCCTCAGCACCCGCCTCCTGTAGCCTGGTGCCAGCTCCTACACAGGCATGACTGTCCACCAGGAGGGGCTGGTGGGGAGTGAGACGAGAGGTCCCCTCCACACAGCAGCCAGCACAGGCTGCGGGCGGACGCCTTCCTGTGTCAACTCTTGACTTAAGAGCTTCAGACCAACCTGGGTTACACAGCAAAATCCTATTTTGAGGGCTGGGGATTTAGCTCAGCGGCATAAGCGCCTGCCTTGCAAGCAGGCAATCGTGAGTTCGATCCCTGGTACCGATAAAAAGGAAAAAGACAAAAAAAAAAAAAAAAAATTAAAAATCCTATTTTGAAAAAACAAAAAATAGATTTAAAAAATATTAGTAAGTAATTTTTTCAGAGGCTAGGAATGGGCTGGGGATTTAGCTCAGTGATTTTAACTGCCTGCCTGACAAGCGTGAGGTTGTCAGTACAGGGTGGGGGGGAACGACACGGACTGTGGCTTTAGTAGGATGCATCTGCTTAGCAGGAACAAAGCCCAGGGTGCAATCCTCATTTCTGGGAAAGCAAAACCAATCCTCCACAGATGAATCTGATGTACCGACTTTAGTTCCATTTCCCTTTTCAGTCTCTGTTTGCCAGAAAGCTGCTATTAGGAAGGAAGGCAGAGGCTTGGCGGGAAGAACCTTCCAGAGCAGGAAGGCTCTCTGTGTCGTGGGAATAATTCTTGCCATTTGGGGTTCTCACAGCAGGGCCCGAGGCCACACACTCTCCTCCAGCAGGGTGCAGGAGCAGCCCCAGTCCCCCTCCTTGGTAGGAGGAAGGGTGCCCACCCGTTATTCCACATGTGAGAGACCAGCAAAGCAGTCAGCAACCTGTACAGGTGATCTGCCACAGGGAGGTCAAGCTCATTTTCTACTGGAAAATCACCATCTGAGTCTCCTGATTTCAGGACCCCAATTGCAGGAGAGACAGCCTGGGCCAGAGGAACACCCTCCCTACCCAGGAACCGTCACAGCAGGGGTCTGACCTGCCTGTGGGTGCCCACATTTACTGTTTTAATTACATTTACGATGTAAATGTAATTAAACTCCCCCCAGGACTGGAAATAGACCCAGGGCCTGTGCACAAACCCATGAATAAATTCAAGCCCAGCCTGCAAGGTGGCAACTTAAAAAGATCCAAGGACAGAGACCCTCTCTCAAAATAAAAATCAATAAAAAGGGCTGGGGGGGCTGGGGATTTAGCTCAGCGGCATAAGCACCTGCCTTGGAAGCAGGCAGTCGTGAGTTCGATCCCCGGTACCAGTAAAAAGGAAAAAGACAAAAAAAAAAAAAAAAAAAAAAAAAAAAAAAAATAAAAAGGGCTGGGTATGTGGCTCAGTGTGAAGGTCCCAGATTCAACTGGGGGGTGGGGGCTGCACATACTGCTGTTCAGGGGTTTAGTGGTGGGCTTCTGGATCATGGTGGTGCTATCCTCATCAGTAGATGAACATGCTGATAAGTTCTTTGCTATCTTTTTTGTTTTTATCGGTACCAGGGATTGAACTCACGACTGCCTGCTTGCAAGGCAGGCGCTTATGCCACTGAGCTAAATCCCCAGCCCCGAGTTCTTAGGAGGGCCCCACTTGGAGGAGCTGGATCACTGGGGGCCTCTGGAGGGAAGCTCTCTCTTCTCTGCCTGTGACTTCCTGCTCTCTCTGCTTCCTGGCCACTGTAGGATGAACAACCCGTGTCCCTGCCTTGGAGCCAGCCAAGCATGGACTGAACCCTATGAAACTATAAGCCAAGATAAACCTCCTCTTTTTTTTTTTTTTTTTTGGTCTTTTTGAGACAGGGTCTCACTATGCAGTTCAGGCTGGCCTTGGGCTCTCTACATAAACCCAATCTCTCAAATTTGCAACAATCCTCCTGCCGCAGCCTCCTGAGCACTGGAATTACAGAAGTGTGGCACCATGCCTGGCTAAGATAAACCTTTTCTTCAAGCTGTGCATGTTGGGCCTGGGGATTTAGCTCAGCGGCATAAGCACCTGCCTTGCAAGCAGGCAGTCATGAGTCCAGTACCGATAAAAAACAAAACAAAACAAGCTGTGCATATCAAGCATTTGAGCCTAGTAATGAAAGGCTTATCAATACAGAAAATCAATCACTAGAATAGAAAAAGGTACATGTACCAGCTCATTTTATGAGGCCAAAAGTGACTAAGAAAGGATTGCACATTTGAGGCCAGCCTGGGCTGGGTATTGAGTTCAAAGCCTTCTTGGACCTAGGAATGGTGGCACATGCCTGTAATTATAGCACCTGAAAGGCTGAGGGAGGAGGATTACCATGAGCTTGAGGCCACCCTGAGCTACACAGTTCAAGGCCGACCTGAACTACATAAAGAGACCTTATCTCAAAAAAGCAACAACAACTAAAAAAAATCCAACCAAACAAACAAAAAGCTATCTTGAACTACATATTGAGACCCTATCTCAAAATACACTAAGTAAATAAAGTGTGATCCTGACATCAAAGTATGGGGAACAGGACTCAGCAGGAGTTATTCATTTCCATCCAAAAACTATTAGAAGGAAATGTTCAACTGTTTTCTATCTATAGGACAATTACATTCCTTACAGATAAGCGTTAGGGCCCAAAGGGTATTATTTAGTCTTCCTGAGCTGGAATTTCCTCATCCGTAAAGTGGGAACAATAAAAGCACTGATTTCTGTAAAATTGTAGAGATTAAATTGGTTAAAATATGTTTAGACAGATGCATGCAGACAACAAATGCTAACTATTACCACACTTGTCAATACAATTCAAGCCTACCGACTGCTAATGTACATGATGAAACCAGTGGTCCTCACACTCCTACCACCCCAGACATCCTCAAAAAGCTGACACACCAGCCTCATTCCAGAACTGTCACTCGGATTACCTGGTCATGACTCATACACCTGTAGTCCTAGCACTCTGGGAGGCTGAGGCAGGAAAACTACAAGTTCTAGCCCAGCCTAGGAAAACAAGCATCTTAGAAAGTCCCTGTCCCTAAACAAAAATACATACATAAAAAGGGCTGAGATGTAGCTCACTGCAAAGGTCCTGGGTTTGATCCCTAGTAGCCTCCACCAAAAAAAGAAAAATGTCTCCTAGATTAATTTCAACATGCAGTTGAAGGACCAGTGACGTGAAACTACAGAGCAGTTCAAGTAGGCACTGAGTAGCTAAGTTACACTTCACGTAAGAGCTGAGTGGTTGGGTTTTTGTTGTTGTTGTTGTTTGTTTGTTTTTTAAGAGCTGAGTTTTTAAGCTGGGTTTGAAGAAAGAGTGATGTTTAACCCTACAGGCTATTTTTCTATTAAAAACTGGTACCCAGGTCGGGTATAGTGGTGTAAGCCTGCAGTCTCAGCTCTGCAGGAGCCTGAGGCAGAGGGTGATGAGTCCACGGACTCAAGCCCAGCGTGGCAACACTGGAAAAAAAAACCACCTGATACCCAGATATCAAAGACCAGAGTAAGTGGTGCAGGTCCCGAAAGCAGATGTCCTTAACTCAGGCATAGGAGAAAGAACAAAAAACACGCAGAGTAATCCAGACCTGGGACCACAATGTAAGATCTACTGAAGCACCTGTTCCTGTTAGGTTTCATGTTTACACCCAAGTTTCAAAGGCCACAGAAATGCAGTTGCTCAAGAAGCAACAAAGACGGTCAGAAACACAGAACAAACACAAACTGCCCCGAGGTAAAACCCTTCCCTTCTGTGCCATCTAGGATCTAGCATCACGGGACACTTTTGTCCTATAAAAAAACGTGGCTCCAGTCACGAGGGGAAGTCGGGCAAGTTCTGACTCACGGCCCCAAGGGGCTACGTCATCACACTGATCTCCAGACAGGCAGGTGAAATCCTGGCATAGCAGGACCTCGACACCACCTGGGCCACAAGGGGCAGAGGCCAGACCCGTGACACGCAGTGCTGGTGCGCCTTGCCCTGAGTGACTCCATTCGCTGAACCAGCACTGTCATAGAGTACAAATCCTGAGACAGAAGGTCCTGACTCTGTCTCTGCAAACCGCACACCACCAGATGCCACACATACTAAATGGATCAAAAACCACCCCCCTAAGCTGTACAGCGCACTCCAGAGTACAGACTGATAAATGCATCCATCACACTGAACACACGACAGATCTGAGTTATGGCAGACAAAAGCAGGCCCCACACACTTGCTGGGACACTGCGCAAACTGGGCCACTGTCTTCCAGAGTAGAACAACAAAATATCAGCTGAAAGGGAGGTTGTAAAAAAGATGCTCATCAGAAATCTAAGGAAGAAAGCTCCTTGCTGGGAGGGGCTTGGAACAGGTGGCTGGAGTGGACTGTCTAGGGTGGTTTATATTTAAGTGGCCTTACCATGTGGGGGAGCTAGCCTACAGAATTTGGGTCTGGGCTGTCCACACTCTGCCACTGCCTGTAAAGAAAGAGCACCAGGTCACTCTTCCTCCAGTTAGGAACCTCGTGGTGTAAATAGGGACAACAAAGTAAAAGGGAGGAGGCCCCATGCCAGCTGGGCTCAGCCAGCCAGCCTATGGCTTGAGATGAGCCCTTAACCCTGTGCCTATGCTGCTCTCTTGGTGAGGCTGACTAGCCCAGAGCCACCTTCACCCCTGTCCTTATCTGCCGACTTAGAAGTTACAGAGCTGAACTGCCTCTTACAATTGGACACAGCAGACCAACAAATGACACAACCCCCTTGTCTGAATCATATAAAAGGAGGAGCATCCAACAACATGAAGATACACCAGTGGCATACGCCTACCTGTCCACTCCTCAGACCGCTGGTGAATAATCGCATGGATAGGTGACATCCAGCTGTCCTCTGGCTCCAGCTCAGGTAATGCCTCCCTCCTGACACCCACAGTAAGTTCTGAGCTGACTCTGCACTCTCAACAAGCCCTGCTGCGGCGACGCCTCGGGAAAGCTCTGCCTGGTTTGTTTCTTATTTGTGTGCCTCTGTCTGCCTGGCTCTCTGCCTTCACTTTCTGTACTGTCTTCAAATCCTGAACCACCAGGGTCTTTGCGCTGGGCTATGCTCTCAGCTCCTCCTTTTCAAACTAGTTTGTACTTTTTTTTTTTTTTTTTATACCAGGGATCAAATAGTTTTTACTTTTGAGATAGGCTCTTGCTAAATTTTCCAAGCTGGGCTCCAATTTAAGATCCTCTTAAAAAAAAAAAAAAGACCCTTGGGGCTGGGGATTTAGCTCAGCGGCATAAGCACTTGCCTTGCAAGCAGGCGGTCGGCGGTCGTGAGTTCGATCCCCAGTACCGATAAAAATGAAAAAAAAAAAAAAAAAAAGACCCTTTTGCCTCAGCCTCAGGAAGCTGGGACTACAGACAGGTGTGCTCCACTCTGCTCGACTCTGGCAGCTCCGTTCCTGTAATCTGGATATGATTGTGTGATGTATGACTTGAGTGTTACGGCCAATACTAATTAAAATTAGTACAAAAGAATAAAAGAATCTGTGATTGTCTAACTCCCCGGACATACAGAAAAACAGTGAGGACTCAGTCAGATACTGGCTGTTGAAATTTATGTCTGGCCAGGCATGGTGGTGCACCTGTAATCCCAGCAGCCAGGAGGCTGAAGCAAGAAGATAGCTTTGAGTTCAAGGCCAGATTGGGCAGTACAGTGAGACCCTGTCTCAAAAGGACAAAACAAAACACTGATGTTGTTCACATTACTGGCATAGCTCACCCACGACATGGTAAAACCTGTTTCAGTTTAAACGGGGCCTCTATGATCATGTAAGGGTGCTGTTCTTTTTCTCCAGCAATCGTTAATGAAATAAGTGAGGAAAAACCCTCCCCCTGGGAAAGTTGCTGGCCCAGTTCCTTCTTGTGCCCTCATAGCATGTTCAGATACTGTGTCTGAGGTGCTGGGTGAGTTTCTATGTTTTAGGAACAGATGTCAGGGCCGTGGCCACTGTGCCAGGGAACTGACTCCACGGTCTGGATGACAATTTGATCTGGTAATGCTTTATCCCAACTGTAAACTAGACTGGGTTTTTTTCTTTTTTTTTAGACTGGATTTCAAAGCCACATGTATAACAGTGTGCTGAGAACCACAGTCCAACGGAAATGAAAATTAACAAGGCCGGCACGTTTTGCAATCCTTAATTGGCTCTTTTCTGTTCTTAATTATTGTTTTCAACCAAGTTTGCCAGCCTCTCTCACCAGCCTGGAAGTAAATGAATTGTTAGTATTCGTGTGCTTTGTTTAAACATTTTCTCTGAGCCCATTCCACTGTCTATATTTTCATCACAGAGGAAATCAAGCTTTAGGCCTCCCTTAAACACAACACCTTCCCCGAAAGCGCACTTCATAAAAACCCCTCGCTCCTCTTTCTCGCCACAGACGTTCCTTCCGGACCGTTCGCCAGTTCCGCGCGTTTGCCAACAACTATTTCACGTCAAGCCCTACGAGACAGTCAGCCACCGCTGAAAGAAAAGCGCTTATACTCTTACCAAGGCCAACACAAAACTGAAAATACACGCTGTCCGCACCGAAAACGCCGCGTACCTAAGAACCAGGTCAGCCTCCGGCGGGATTGAGGTAGGCGCACGCTCTCAGCCATGTTACGACCTGGGGTGCGCGCTTCCGGGGTCCCCGCCGCCCCTTACCCGGCCCGGCGCCGCGTCCCTCCGCTCGGGCCCGCGCTCCGGATCGAGCCGGCAGCCGCTGCCCGCGAGGCCGCGGCACAGAAAAGACCTTAGGGCCTCCCGCCCGCGGCGCGGAACCGCCATAGCTACCCGCGCCACCTTCCGCACCACACGGCAGCGTCGCGAGCGCACCTGGTGTCGCGTTACGGCAGGGTCGCAAAAGCTGCGGCCAGCAGAGCGCGGCAGACCATGCGCATTCCCCGCAGAGCCGCGGGCTGCCGGAGCGGCGCGGCTCAAGGTAAGCGCCGGGCGCTGGCCGGGTTTCCCAGGGATTGGGGTCACTCGGCCGGGGCTGGGGGTGGGACCGGCGACCTCGGCGCTGCGGAAGTGGAGCGGGCGGACCGCGATGGCGCGGGAGACGCAGGTGAGCGCGGCGGCCCTCCTGGGCGCGGAGCAGCGCCCCTGCCCTGCGCGCATTGTGAGGTCAGGCGGCGGCGCGGCGGGGCTCGGTGCGGGGGCGCCGCGGCCAGTAGCTTGCGCCGCCGCCGGCCCCTTCGCCGCTGCCCGGGTCAACCCTAGCCTGGACGGGCGGGGATGCCACGAGGGGCCACGCTCGGGCGCCGCTGCCTGTGAAGGCCGCTGGCCCAGGCCTCGGGCTGGGCGCTGCGAGGATAGCGCGCGCGGGGAGCAGGGACGCGGGCGTCACGGGACTGGCTCAGTGCACTGTCCGCCTTGCGGGACCTGTTGGCTGGAAACCCCGGAGCGTGGAACGTATGCTGAGCCAGCCTTCCCGGACTCTTAACGGGAGGCGAGTGGCCAGGGTCTTCACAGCTGTCACGCTTTTGCGGACTGTGTCTGGGGCGGACCATGGTAGCGGCTGGGCACGTGCTGGTCCCCCAGAGTCCGGGACGTCCTTCTGGCTGTGTTCTGTACTTCTAGGGGCAGGTGCGGGAGGGATGGAGAACAACGCGGAAGGCGGACTTTGGGGCTCTGTTGCTTCTGCTTGCTCTTCCGGAAAGCTGGCATAATCCCGCGAGGTTTGGAAGGCTAAAAGAGCTATTGTTTTACATTCCACTAAGATGCGCTGCGGATTCCAAAAAATAGTTTACCTTGTTAAGTTCTAAGCAGAGCCGGGCTTGGTGGTGCATACCTGCAATCCCAGGACTAGGGACGCAGGGGCAGGGGCAAGGGCAGAACCATTCCCTTGTGCTCAAGGGCAACCTGGGCTACATAAGCTAATTCAAGGCTAGCCTGAACTACGCAGTGAGATACTGCCTCAGAGACAAAAAGGAAAAAATCTAAGGAATTTGTGCTGTGTCTAAGCTGGTAATTCTGCTTTTGACGAAGACATGTTGCTCTTTTTTTTTTTTTTTTTTGTCTTTTCCCTTTTTCGACCAGGGATTGAACTCACAACTGCCTGCTTGCAAGGCAGGCGCTTATGCCGCTGAGCTAAATCCCCAGCCCCAACATGATGCTCTTTTATGGTTGGAATTAGGAATTCACAGGGCCAGAAAATTGATAATTCACTTTCTTTCTGTACTTGAGTATGATTGTCTTTTTGGAGCACATGAATAAACCTTTAACATGTTTTCCTGGGCCTGATGGCACATGCCTGTAATTGCAGAACTGCAGTAATAATAGTGCAAGGCCAGCCTGAACTGCATAGCGAGACTATCTCAAAAAAACAAAAAATAATGCCAAAAAAGTAATTAAAGTACATACTTGAAGAAATGAGAATTTTAGACTGAACTAATACATGGTTGTCATTCGGCAGAGACTCTGCTTTAATAAGTTATTGTTCTTGCCTTTCAGTGCTTGTGCAGCTGAACACAAGAAAAGTATGGATATGGGAAACCAACATCCTTCCATTACTAGACTGCAGGAAATCCAGAAGGAAGTGAAAAGTATAGAACAGCAGGTGATCGGCTTCAGTGGCCTGTCAAGTGATAAGAATTACAAGAGACTGGAGAGGATTCTAACAAAGCAACTTTTTGAAATAGACTCTGTCGATACAGAAGGAAAGGGAGACATTCAGCAAGCTAGGAAGAGGGCAGCACAGGATATAGAGCACCTTCTCAAAGAGCTGGAGCAGAATGCAAACCACCCACACCGCATCGAAATCCAGAACATCTTCCAGGAGGCCCAGACCCTCGTGAAAGAGAAGATCGTGCCCTTCTACAGCGGAGGCAGCTGCATAACTGATGAAATCGAGGAAGGCATGCAGGATATCATTCTGAGGCTGACCCATGTTAAAACCGGAGGAAAGATCTCTTTGCGGAAAGCAAGGTATCACACCCTCACCAAGATCTGTGCTGTGCAAGAGATCCTCGAAGACTGCATGAAAAAGCAGCCTTCACTGCCACTTTCTGAAGACATACATCCTTCTGTCGCCAAAATCAACTCTGTGATGTGCGAAGTGAACAAGACCAGAGGGGTCGTGGTGGCGCTGCTGATGGGTGTGGACAGTAGTGAGACTTGCAGGCATTTGTCCTGCGTACTGTCGGGGCTTATTGCTGACCTGGATGCCCTAGATGTGTGCGGCCACACAGAGATCAGAAACTATCGGCGGGAGGTAGTGGAAGACATCAACAAATTACTGAAGTATTTGGACTCAGAGGAGGAAGCCGATACAACTCATGCATTTGACTTGAGACAGAACCATTCCATTTTAAAAATAGAAAAGGTCCTCAAGAGGATGAGAGAAATAAAAAAGGAATTTCTTCAAGCTCAAAACCCTCCTGAACTGTATCTGAGCTCCAAGACGGAACTGCAGGCTTTGATCGGACAGCTGGATGAGGTGAGTCTTGAAAGAAACCCCTGCATCCGGGAAGCCAGGCGAAGAGCAGTGATCGAGGTCCAGACGCTGATCACGCACATCGACCTGAAGGAGGCCTTGGAGAAAAGGAGGCAGTTTACCAGTGAGGAGCACCCGTGCCATAAGGCGGTCTGGGAGGTTCTGGGGAATCTGTCGGAGATCCAGGGAGAGGTCCTCTCCTTCGACGGAAATAGAAGCGATAAGAACTACATCCGGCTGGAGGAGCTGCTGACCAAGCAGCTGCTGGCCCTAGATGCCGTGGACCCGCAGGGAGAGGAGAAGTGTAAGGCTGCCAGGAAACAGGCCGTGAAGCTGGCCCAGAACATCCTCAGCTATCTCGACCTGAAATCCGACGAGTGGGAGTACTGAAGTGCCGGAGCCCCGTGCCCGTCCGCCCATCTGCCCTTGATTGCCCTTCTATGTATTTATGGAGTGCTTTCGGCTCATGGAGCCGAAATGTGATTTATATGTGCATATTTCAATCTCAGTATTTATGACTTAAGCAAATTATATTCAGGATCTCTGCTGCTTTTGATGTTGCAAAACAAATATTATTACAGCTCATTAACCTTTCCACTTGGCTCATCCATGTGACGTGTGGTTTGTTTGGTTTGTTTCTCGTGTTTTACTTGTGAGTTTTTGATCAGGACATGAAATAGAGGCAGCATTCATTCATTCTTTTTTGTTTGTCTCACTATGCAGTTCAGGCTGGCCTTGAACTCACTTTGTACCCCAGACTGACCTCAAACTCACAGCAGATCTTCCTGCCTCAGCCTTCCGAGTGCTGGATTACAGGTGGGCACCACCATGCCCAGCATCATTCATAATTTTCAAATGGGTTATGCAAGCATGACAATTCAGGAACCTCAGGATCTAGAAATAGAGATAACCTTATATAGTAGGAAAATTATCAGAAGGGGGAATTTTTGGTAAAGTTTAAGGAGTTTTATTATGCTAAATAAAACAATAGGGTTTTTGTCTTACAAGTCCTGAATGGTCCCTGTAAGGAGGTGGGGTCAATTATATGTTTGTGTGTGTGTGTTTGTATTGTCTGTTCTTTCATAAACATTTTTGTTTGAAAAAAAATCAGTGTCTCTTTGTCCCCATAGTCTGCAATTTGGAAGGGGCAATCTTGAACACAATACAAGGAAATTAGGGAAACTGGTGGCCAGCACAGACCCTTTAGGCTGCAGGAAGAAGGAAGCACTACCTACTTAGTACCTTCAAGTAGTTTTTTTGATTTGAAAATGTTCCTTAGTGATTTGGATGGGAATATTTAAGTGACATCAATAGACCTTAAAAAAAAATCAAAAGGATGCCAAGGATTTAGCTCAGTGGCACAAGCGCCTGCCTGGCAAGTGCTAGGTTGTGAGTTTGATCCTGGTATCAAAAATAAAAAGTAAAGAGACTGTCCCTGTGATTGGGGCTTGGCAACTGGGTGAGTCCCTGACATCACATTACACTAGAGCTGATCAGAAACGTCTGGTGGGAATTTCCTCCATTAGGCCAGGCTGTGAAGCAGACAGGCATGCTGCACAGGCGCAGGGCAGTCTGCCACCATCCAAAGCCCTGTGGGGCTGGGCACTGGGCTGAAGTTGGACTGAGAAGTCACTGGGGCCTTCAGACCTTAAACATCCACCCGCTCTGTCCACAGCTGCTGGCTTCTTAGCCCTGAGTTCCTGGTGTGGGGATTTCTGTGTTTCCTGGAAGAACCATTAGAATCGGTCAGGCGAGTTCTTTTTTTCGCTAAAGGGCACATACATTTATGCTTTCTGGGAATCCAGTTTTTTAGTTGCTTATTGTGAGCAAAAGAATTCCCCCAGTTTCTGTGGAGCCTAGATAATAACCTGAGGGCCAGAGTTCTGACCACAGGTCCCCTGCCTGGTCCCTTTCTCACATCCTGTGAGCATGCACCTTTGAACTTCACTGGGAGCTTTCTTTTTTTTTTTTTTTTTTTGTCTTTTTCTTTTTTATCGGTATCGGGGATTGAACTCACGACTGCCTGCTTGCAAGGCCCCCAGCCCCTTGATGGACAACTTTCAACACCTAACAGACGATGAAAGTAGTCGTACACTGATCATTTTGTCTCATTCAAAGCCCTGTGTTTTTCGTAAGAGAAATGTTCTAGAATCACTGGACCCTGGAGTCAGAAAGGGGGTCTGAGGATAGTGAGCCCTCCCTATTGCAGGCCCTCACTCAAAGTCATTAGAGTTCTTGTTTGTAGGACTGCTTTTCAGTATTAGGAATTTTAGGCTTTTTCAAGACAAGGCATTGCTATATATTCCCTTTGCAGTCCAGGCTGGCCTTGAACTTGCAGCAGTCCTGCCTCAGCCTCCTGAGTGCT